CACACACACACACACGCACAAAAACATACACATATGCACCCTCGTCAGCAGGTTGATTGCGTATCTTTTGCGGGCTGGTGGGAGTGAGCAAAGTGTGATCGTAGCCACAAATTAGGCCTTGTGCTAATTGTACATTTGCTTATCTCCCATGGGATCGGGCCGATCAGTCGTCCATCTGACGTGGAAGACTCTCGACCAGATTTCAGCACAACTCGTGCCGATCTTGTGCTCCGGGCGACGTTGACACGACCAGTCCGGAGGAGGAAGCGACGACTGGCGTCGCGAATGAGTGAGACTGGAACCATATTCGGCCAGCAATAAGCAATGTTGTCGAGTCTTTCATTTCGCGTAATAATACGTAACCCCAACGCGACCAACAAGCAAAACTGGGGTCGTTTAATCACATCTTAAACGAATTGCAAGCTACTCCAACATCCCTCAAAACTTACCTATAGGTGGGCAAAAATGGGCGTTAAACAGGTTATCTTATGGGCGATTCACACAATTGCTAGTCGAACTGACAATCCATTCGAAGAAGAAGCGAAAAAACAAAGCCATAATTCACCATATTTCATAATTGGCTCCATATAACCTAATCAACAACGAAAATAACTAATAACCGCACAGGCAAAACCATAAAATGGTGGACATGCCAAACAAGAAAAACATATTAAAACGGGTAATAAAGCGAAATATAGCATAATAAAACAGAAAACATTACCTAGGCTTTAGATCCATAGTATCATCTCTCACGTTTCACACACAAAGCCTGTTCCAAGTGGATGGAACGGCAGTAAATAGAACAATACAACAAGTAAAAACATGCTAATGAGCATAAAACTTATAAAAAGAATGTTAGTAATATTGCTTAATTTTAACGGAATCACTAGAGCCCACCTTTTTACAATTCTATGGGATGTATTAGACGTACGTCTAAGATCTGCGGGTATAAACAAAAAAGCCTCCGCCATCCGTACCGTACATACAACAATCCTCAAACTTCCCCATAAATGATGCATTCTGTCTAAGCTAAAATGTCTGACAACGGACACAATAAGCCGGCTCGAATGAACTCAAAACAACCAAAATAATATCATCCTAATTAAATAAAAGAGAAAAGAAACGTGTATATATTATTTTAAGTCAAAAAGTGAAAGCTAGTTCACTGTTTATTGGATACAATATTGAGTGAAAGGACATAAACTATGCTTCAGGCTCTATATTCACCGGAAAATAAACATTTTGCGTCCTTTTCAATTTTGGGTAACTTCATAGAAGAGTACATTTTTGTACGCTGTCGCAAGCATCGTCGTCGGCCTGATGCTGGGGCAGCAGAGGACAACAATGATAGCCAACTTATGAAGCACCGCCCTCTTCGAAATTTCCATAAAGAGACTGGAAAACTGCAAAATCCAGGTTAACTCACGAGTACGAACATCTTGCTCTTCTAACTTCAGCTCTTTAAAATTATCCTTACGCCTTTGCTACCAAGTTAGTTGTATACAATTATTAGAATAACGTATTAAAGCATCATTTCGGATGTAAAGCTCAAAAAATGGAATACAACACTTTTTAAAGTATTACTTGACATGTATTCACCCTATTTAGTTTAAGATGATGAAGAACTGGTAGTATAATTTTCCCACAATGACATGAGTACAGCTGACATAGCCTTGCTTTCAATGGAAACGTCAGCTCTACTCATGTCATTGTGGGAAAATTATACTGTCAGTCATTCATCACCCTTAAACGAAATTGGGTGAATACACCTCATATTACTGATTTACTGGTAGTCACGAAAACAATACTTAATTGGAAAAATAAAATAACATGGTCGTTTTTTATAGCAAATATGCATTGTGGGATGAGAACAACTTTTGGGAAAGCAAAGATATGTGAAATTGATTGGAAACGTCAGCTCAACTCATATCATTGTGGGAAAATCCTTCTTCTACCAGTCTTTCATCAGCTTAAATGAAATTGGGTGAATACATCTCATACTATTGACTTACTGGTAGTCACGAAAACAATACTTAATTCGAAAAATAAAATAACATGGTCATTTGTTATAGCAAATATGCATTGTGGGATGAGAACAACTTTTGGGAAAGCAAAGATATGTGAAATTGATTGGAAACGTCAGCTCAACTAATATCATTTTGGGAAAATCCTTCTTCTATCAGTCTTTCATCAGCCTAAACGAAATTGGGTGAATACATCTCATACTACTGATTTACTGGTAGTCACAAAACAATACTTAAAAGCGAAAGTAACGTATTACTTGAACCCATCCTATTTGGTTTAACCGTCTGCAGTGAACTTCAGGGCAAAATGGCAGAGGCACGACACGTCAACGAAATAGCCAAAATGACACATGAAACATTGCACAATGCGAACAAAAAATCTCACAGCCACTGGGCAAACAGGAAAATGGTAGAAAAACCGAACTAACTCGATGGCTAAATGTCCTGTCTCGCGAGATTACTCGGCACCGGAAAATCTGTACTTCTATTGCCATAACGACTGGGATAGGCGCTTTCGAGAGGCGATACAACCGCTTAGTGACAATCAATCGGAGCTCCACTTTTTAACCGGCCTCTCGGTCTCGATGCAGACACATTCAGTGTCTAATGCGAATGCGTTGAGTTGACTGACGGTTTGGCGCGGAAATCGGAGAGAACA